AATGCCCCGGAAAATGTTTGTTCGATTTTTCGAACATTGGTCATTAGTCCGGGACTCTTTATTATCTCCAAATCCACCCTGGGCTTCCCTAAGTACCTCCTGAACATTGGCCCAGAGGACTTACACATTTTGAAAAATAATGTTCAACACTTGCTTTTTGAGTATATGTCTGTTATTCTAGCCTATCTCTGGGTCGAAATATGAATAGGGATGGCCTTTGTTCGAAAAATCGAACGCTGGTAGAAAATGGGTTAATAAAGTAAAATGGGCAAAGATATAATATGGGCAAGCACACATTCCCGCTGCGCTGTCACCACACACAAAATCGTTTATTTATTACAATTTTTCTTTTACATTCGCGCACATATTTTCCAGGTGAAATAGCTACTAGACTGTCATTGCCTGCGATTCTAAGCTCCTTCCCTCCGATAGAGATCTATTTGTGGTTACGTTTCTTCTTTTCTTCGCATGCAAAGTGTTTTCTTTTCTTATGCTTTACTATCAACGGTTTTCGCGACAAGTTCACATTTATATGCTAATTTAATCGTATTTAGACGATTTTACGACCGCATCCGTAATCACGGGTGCCGACCGCGCGATTTAAGGAAATCATAATTTTTTTTATTAAGATTAGCTCATTTCCCAAGCTCGATAAAACAACAACAACAAAAATGAAACTTCGACGGCATTGAAAACATGTGCCGATTTCCTATACACTGGAATTTCCCACATATAAAACACATCGCTGTTGCAAATCGATTGGCTTCAAGTGTTTTTGAAATTGGATATTTCTTAATATCACATGAATGCAAAAATGTCATCAAATTGTTATGGTATGTGTGTGTGTGTTGTTTGTATTTCGCATGAAATTATTTTGCAATACAATTTTCACGTGTCATGCAGAGCTTTATGTTTAAAATAAAGGAGAAGTAAAGGGACATTTGTGCCAGAAATTGCTTTCCGTCGCCATGCACGAGCATTCCGATTGGAGATACATCTTTTTGAGAACAATGACTTTATTTTCTCCTTGTGCATTTTCCTAAAAAAAATGAGCTCAAATTTCAACTTTAAAGTAGATAAATAGAGCAGTTCGACAAAATGCTTTTCGTAATATTTCCGGCTATTATTTTGACTCTAGCCCATATTATCTCTCGAAACAATGATGTAACCCGTGTGCATACCCGTGTGGAAGTCGATTAATTTGGGACATCTTGACTGACTAAACGTAATTGTCTCGAACAAAATAAGCAACTGCAGTTAACTTTAATCACAAATCACTCTTAGTCAAAATGTCCCAAATTAGTCGACTGACTGAAAGAATAACTAAACGTGATTGTCTCCATACAAAACGCATGATTTCAATCAATTTAGCCAGATTTAGTTGTGCATCACTACATACAGTTACATACAACTGAGTGACTATTAGTCATTTTATTTGCACTCGGGATATCCTGCAAAATTCGACCGTTTTTGACCAATGCACATTGTTATCTAAGACAATAAGACACACTTTTCGATGATAGAACGAAGTAAAGCGAAACGGAAAGGACAGACCAAGCGAAGCAAATAAAGTCTAGTTTTGTACAGGTACGTTGCTCCTTATCCGTTACAACCATTCAAATGAAAGGAAAAGTACATGAAATGAGACAATGAATGCATTCAAATGAATATTCGTTCAACGAACCATCACAAAAGAGTGAGATTTATTGCAAATTATCCACTTTATTTCAATTTCACTCTCGTTTGCTGCTTTTCTTTCTCTCTCTCGCTCTCCCGATCTCTTATTCAATTTGCCATTGCCTCATTCTCATTCTAATTCTCTTTGCCACTCTCGCTTAATCTAAGCTTTTCTTACGAAATTTCTTCAAGTTTTCTCTTGTATGCTTTTTCAATTTTGATCTCGCTTTAGTAGCTCAATCTCTATTCTCCATTTACTTGAAGAAACGAATAAATTGACAATCGTCAATCTCACGCGAGAAAGAAAGAGAGCGTGCATCTCAAGTCATATCAAATGTTCAATTTTCTTCTTGTGCTACGCGAAAACTTCTAAATTTCATTTTCGACAAGAATATATATAGTAATTTAGAACTCTATCGAACAATGTCATTTGGCCCTTTTTCACAGTCTATTGAAATGAAGTGAAAATATTGTTTCTTCTTCCCTTCCCACGTGTATAAAAGTGGATTTACATTTGCCAGTTCGTCTTTTCCACTTCACCGGCGTAATGAATCGATTCGGCAAATACATTCTAAATAAATGCGCTGTCACATGAATATTAGTTTCTGACACATTAAAACTAATTTCATCATTTTACATAATCAAATCTTAAGTGAGCTGTGTTAAATGGGAGATAGATTGATAGAGAGAGAGAGAGAGAGATACAGACAGGGCTCTTAATTTAAATACATCACAAGTAATTCATGAATTATTATTAGTTGTTTAAATATAAATATTCCAAAAGGTAGAGACTGTCTATGGTATTTTATTGTAATGTTTCTTTTGGAATTCAGTTTTTGATATGGAACGGATGAAGATAGGTGTTGATTCAGTGTTCAAATTCAACTTTAAAATAACCGAATTCACATGTACCTCGAAGCTAAATATAAAAATTGCAAATTAGTTTTTGAGATGGCCTTGAACTTCAAGTGCACTCAGAGATGACTGAAGCGCACCGAGTGACCGAGCAACGGCCGCACGGA